GTGACGAACCTTCGACACGAGGACCCCGACAGGTGTGACACATGTGGCAGACGGGACTTCCGACTCTGCAAATGGGAGGGCATCATCGATATTCGGTGTGGCCACAATTCGCACGTGGGAACAGTGGGGCGCATCCTTACGAGAGCGTTTCGAGCATGTATCCCCCTCGGAACACGCTCGCATGAAGCTGCGTACCTGGTTGCAGTTGGTTTCTGTTTGAGACTACACGGCGTCGTTTATGGCGCTCGCGGACCAACTGGACGACATGGCGGAAGTAGAGCGGTTGGATAAATACATCAGCGACCTCAAGTACGAGATACAGTTTGAGGTGCGCCGAAACCGCTCGACTACATTCAACAAAGCCGTTCGATTGGCCGAGAGCATAGACGCGCTGATGCAGTGGGCGAGATCGGGTTCTCGGGAGGGAAACCGGTTTCGTGGAAAGACCCAGCGGGCCAGGATAAACGGAGTCCAGGCACCAGACCGCCCATTTACGGGGTTGTGTTTTAAGTGCGGGAAGCCGGGCCACATGTATAAAGACTGCCCCGACAGGACGCAGGGAAAGAGGAACGACCGGAAGGAGTCGGGAAACGGGAAGAGTCAGTATCAGACGGGCCCCTTACTGACTGTGCTCTGTCGCCCGAACCCCACCATCCCCACCGAGTCGTGGTTCCGATTCATGCAATTGATCGCACTCGGACGAATAACAGGGGTGAACATGTGGATCACCCTGTGCTGGTTGTTGGTACGGTGTTGAAGAAATAAATAAAAATGTTCGTCGATGGCGGGGCTAGCCATAGCCTCTTCAACTTGGTGACAGCAAAAAAATGCAAGTTGCAGCTGGACAGGTGTCTACTCGAATTTGACGCTCGCCTCGTGGATGGGACGCCTCTGGCGATTTTAGAGGAAACATGGACGGTGCGGATTGAGTGCGGCAACAATGTCGGCTTCAGCATTAAGTTTCTCACGACGACGTTGGACAGATGCGACGTGCTCCTGGGACGCGATTGGCTGCGACGGCACAACCCAATAATCGATTGGACGACGGGATTGTGCAGCATCAGCAAGCACGAGGGGCTGATTACTCTGCCCGCGCCCGGACTGCATCGAGTCTACATGCGTCAAAGCCATCACTCTTACACGCCACGTCAACAGGGGTGCGCAGCTGTTCGCCGTATGTTTGCGCGAGTTGTCAACCGACACAGACGGAGAAGACATCGAGAAGCTATGCGCAGCTGTACCGCCTGATTTGGCGGAGCTGATTCAACAATTACCCGACATTTTCCCGGATGACCTGCCACCTGAACGACGCGAAGACCACAGAATCCCCCTCGAACCCGGTGCGCAACCGACTATTCGTACACAGTGGCGTCTGACTCAGCCTGAACTCATGGAGCTTCGTAGTCAACTTGGGTCACTGTTGGAGAAGGGCTTCATTCGACCCCGTACTTCACCCTTCGCCGCGCCGATCCTGTTCACACCAAAGAAGGACGGCGGCATTCGCATGTGCATCGACTACCGCGTGCTCAACCGTGTTACCATAAAATCTCGCTATCCCATTCCACGCACCGACGACCTCCTCGACCAACTTCGCGGCGCTTGCTACTTTTCGAGGATTGGCCTACGCAGCGGTTACCACCAGATCAGAGTCTTCGCTGACGACTGTCACAAGACTGCCTTCCGAACCCGCTACGGCAGTTACAAGTTCACCGTGATGCCTTTCGGCCTCAAGAATGCGCCATCAACATTCCAACGCACCATGAACAGGGTATTTCGCGCCTGGTGGACAAGTGTGTTATCGTCTACTTGGACGAAATTCTGATTTTTAGCAGGACAGGCGGGCAGCATCTCCGGGACCTCGACGCAGTGTTTAAGCGGCTGCAGGACAACCGACTCATCACCAAGGGCTCTAAGTGCGAGTTTTTTAAGCAGGAGTTGGAGTTTTTGGGGCACGTCATCTCACGCGACGGCATCAAAATCGACCCGAAGAAAATCACAACCATCCAGGAGTGGAAGGCCCCGACTAATGTCACGGAACTTCAGAGTTTCCTGGGGTTTGTGAATCATGTTTGACGGTTTATCCCGAATATGGCGGGGATAACCGGCCCGCTGACTGACCTACTACATAAGGACAGGAACTTCGTGTGGGGGGAGGAGGCTGAGGCGGCATTTCATGAGTTGAAGCAATTACTGGTGTCCCCTCTGGTTCTTCGCATCGCCGATCCATCCAGGCCATTCAAAGTTGTCACCGACGCCTTAGATTTCGCCATCGGTGCAGTGCTGCTCCAGGATTTTGGCAACAGCTTACAATCGATCGCCTATGAGTCGCGCAAGCTACAGGTAGCTGAGCGCAACTACCCAATTCACGACAAGGAGATGCTCGCCATCATCCATGCATTTAAACTGTGGTGCTGCTACCTGACAGGCGCCGACGTCACTGTACGAACGGACCACAAATCGTTACAGTACCTTTGCGCGCAGCCCAACCTCAACCCGCGACAAATCCGGTGGCTCGACTACATGGAGTCACATTTCCACTACAGGATTACATACAATAAGGGGGCGAATAACATCGCCGACGCCTTGACCCGACGAACAGTTCAATCCGCTGCTATACTGATCACCCATTCGAACCCGCTTCTTTCGGGGCTATTCACCCACGGCTACAAAACGGACCCGTTTTTCACGACAGGCAATCACCTACAAGCGACGACACAGAGGGAAAATCATTACCTAAAAGCCAGAACGGACCAGATTTGGGTACCCGCTAATTGCCTGCTACGGGAATTGCTTATCCAGGAGCTCCACGATTCGGAGTTGACAAGAGGCAAAAAATTCTGCACCATCAGTACTATTGGCCTGATTCTAACTCTGACGTGCAGCGTTATGTGTCTTCATGCAGAGTGTGCTAGGCAATGAAATCGATACGTCAGCACCCAGCCGGCCTACTGCAACCCCTCGAGCCACCCGAGCGACCATGGCAACAGGTGACAATGGATTTTGTCACGGGGCTACCAGCTGGCGCGACCGGCAACGATGCAGTACTCGTCGTCGTCGATCGCCTCACAAAAATGGCGCACTTCGTACCGTGTGGCACAACAATCACAGCCGAAGAAACTGCGCGCCTCTTCATCTCGACAGTTGTTCGCTTGCACGGCATCCCGTCCGCGATCATAATCGACAGGGATCCGAAGTTTACATCGAAATTCTGGAAAGAGAAGTGGGCGCAGTACGGCACAAGGCTACAATTCTCGTTGGCCTACCACCCGCAAACCGACGGACAGACCGAGCGCACCAATCAGACCACGGAGCAGCTCATCCGCACAAACTGCCCCGACCCTTGCTCGTTGGGAAGATTCGCTCCCGATGCTGGAATTTGCGTACAACAACGCCCCGTCCAGCACGACCAACCATTCCCCGTTTTTCCTCAATTACATGATGGATCCGGTGGTACCCACAGCAATGACTCCTGAAAACCCGGTACCACGCCCGCAACACTTTGTGACGGAACTCCAAACCATCCGCAAGAAAGCCGTCGAAGCCATTCGAAAAGCTAACACAACTGCCCGAAAATACTCGGACTTGCTACGTCGGGAAATCACCTTGGCAGCACGGCAACTAGTGCTTCTCGACACCAAGAACCTCCGTCTGCCTGACTCTTCAAAGCTTCGCCCGCGTTTCTGCGGACCTTTCCGCACTGTGAAAATAATCACACCCGTCACGGCGAAACTCATCCTGCCCGACGATTGGCGCATCCACGACGCATTCCCCGTCAGCCTCCTGAAGCCGTTTGTACCAGCACAGACAGACATTGTGCGTCAGAATGCCGCCCCAACAGCTCGCCCGGTCTCGGAACCGACGCTTGACCCGTCGAAAATTCTGGCACATCGTGTTCGACTTGACGCAGCAAGGCACCACGTGGATTTCCTGATTCGTTGGATTGACCGCACCAGCGAGGACGACACTTGGGTGTCATCCGCCTCGCTTGACACCTTTCCGCTACTACGGGATTACCTCGCCCGGAAGCGTGTCGCGGATGTTGACCACCTTTCTTAAAGGGGGGGGGTAGTGTAAGGAAAAACCCTTTTCCTTACTGGGGTTTACTCAACGGCGTACAACCCCAACTTTCGAAAGTGCACGTTCGGCCACTTTGCTTGCTCCCGAAGCAACCTTGTGTCGCCTTCGGCTTTCCTTTGCCCAACCTGCATCCAACCTCGTGTTCCCGAGGTTCCCGCCTAGCTAGGTTGTCTCGCTATACAATCACATGCCTTCTCATTGTATCGTCAATTCATTTAGTCACAAGCTTCGTTGTTCGTTTTCCACGCTACTCTGTTTGACAACTCATAACATCAGGAGATCAGAATGAGTTGTTAGACTACACTATATCAGATAGAAGGTCCATCAACCAATCTGAAAACGCAAACCAAATCTTTCATGCACAGGTTTGCACTAGCACCTGCAACTTGCACATTCTGAGAAATTCCACCTTTGAATCAAACCCAACCCTTAACCTCCACAGCTAAGGACTTCGATTTCCGACTCACTGAAGTGGTCACCAAGTTTCTCCCTCCACATCCACTGGGTTCCTTAACCCGAAACCCAGCTACAGGCTCTACTGTTTGTCCTGCATTTGAAGACACAAACTTTTTCCAGCTGCTGCTGCACCCGTCCCTCCCCACTGGTGTCTCAGCAATCCATAGCAGCATCCACCTAAGCGCCTGTTAGATCTCCCAGACATCTCCCACCTAAGCGCCTGCTTCATCAGCCCCTGCAACAGCTGCAGCCTCAACATTAATTCCGCCACTCCCTCTCCCACAAACGCAGTCTCAGCTTCATTCAGCCCCTCCCCACTACAGCTGATGCTTCACCTTCATTCAGCAACTCGCTCTGCTACAGCTGCACTCTCAGCCTGTGGTGACCCAGCCTCTGGGAGCTCAACAGCTGCCAGCTCAGCCTCTGCTGCTGCAGGTACCCCCTCTGCTACAGCTGCAGCCTCAGCTTCATTCAGCCACTCCCTCTGCTTCAGCTGCCGTCTCAGCCTGTGGCAGCCCAGCCTCTGCAAACTCAACAGCCGCCGGCTCAGCCTCTGCTGCTGCGAGTACCCCCTCCGCTACAGCTGCAGGCTCAGCCCCAGCAGCAGTTCCAGTGATATCCTCTGCTGCTACTTCTGCTGCAGCCGCAGCCTCTGCTAAAGGTGCCTCGGTTCCCGCCCCTGTCACTGCTGCTCCTGCTTCCTCTGCTTTGGTTGCCTCCGCTCCACCCTGCACTGCTGCCTCTGCTACAGTAGCCGTTGCCTCCTCTACTACAGTTGTTGCCTCCTCTGCTGCAGCTGCTGCTTCTGCCTCCTCTGCTACAGGTGCTGTTGCTGCTTCCTCTGCTACAGCCGCTGCTGCTGCTGCCTCCTCCGCCACAGCTGTTGCTGCTGCCTCCTCTGCCGCAATCCATGGCTCATCAGTTGCCCCTGCCACTGTCCCTTCCGCTACCCCTGCTGCTACTTCTGCCTCTGCTGCCACTTGTTCTGCCTCAGCTGCTGGTTGCCCCTCTCCTTGGCCCCCTCCCCCCTCCCTAAGCCCCTGCCCTTCCCCTTCCACCTCACCGGCCTTTCCTTCCCCGCCCTCTGTTCCAGTCGCCACAATCACAGCCTCATCCATCCCCATCTCCTCCATCCTTTGAGGCGCCTCAGCAGGCACCTGAACAGACACCTGATCAGGCACCTGAATGGGCGCCTCAGAAGTTGTTCCAGTGGCCACAACCACAGTCGCCTCATCCATACCCATCTCCTCCATCACTGCATTCGCCACCTCAATCTGCGACGCGGTTACCTCAAATTGCGACACAGTTACGTCAATCTGTGACTCTGTTACCTCCATATGAGCAGCATCAATTTGTGACTCTGTCACCTCCATATGAGCTGCTTCATTATGTGATAATACTGTCCCATCCATATCAGTTGCCTGCTGATTATGTGACTCCATCCCCTCCATGCGTGTTGCCTCAAAAGCCATGTCTATTTGTGATGCAGTTAGTTCCATCTGTGAAGCCGTTACCTCCATCTGAGATACTGTCAGTTCCTCCTGAGGTGTTGTTTCCACCTGAGGTGCTGTTGTTTCCACCTGAGGCACTGTAGTATCCACCTGGGGTGCTGCTGCTTCCGCCTGAGGCGCTGCTGTTTCCGCCTGAGGCACAGTTGCTTCCACCTGAGGCGCTGTTGTTTCCACCTGAGCTGCTGCTATTTCTGCCTGAGGCGCTGCTGTTTCCACCTGAGGCGCTGCTGCTTCAGTCACGCCTAATGCCCCTCCCAAACCTGCCCTTGGCTCTTGAGTCTCTATTACAGCAACCACCTTCTCCCCTGCCTTATCCCCCTCTTCAATCGCCTCTTCCTCCTCCTCCATGTCCTCCTCTGGCATGTAGTTATCCTCTCCTATCACCAAGATGCTCTCCACGCCCTTCCACACCAGCACTTCTAGAAGTGAGTGCTCCGTGCCCTCATATTCCACCTGAAATAGGGGAAACACACAGCACTGTTTGTAGGTAATTCTCTACCCCCACCACCAAGATGCTCCCCACGCCCTTCCACACCAGCACTTCCAGCAGTGAGTGCTCCGTGCCCTCATATTCCACCTGAAATAGGGGAAACACGCAGCACAGTTTGTAGGTAATTCTCTACCTCCACCACCACAACTCTCCACGCCTTCACACACCAGCACTTCCAGAAGAGAGTGCTCCGTGCCCTCATATTCCACCTGATGTAGGAGAAAGCAACAAAGTGAGAGTTGATCTCTCCTTCCCCACCACCAGAATGCTCTCCACGCCCTTTCACACCAGCACTTCCAATAAAGAGAGCTCTGTGCCCTTGTATTCCACCTGCGGGCGTGTGGGGGAAAAGGAGAACAACAATCGATTTATACTCCTCAATCACCTCCTCCTCCTCCTCCTCCACCTCCTCCTCCTCCTCCTCCTCCTCCTCCTCCTCCTCCTCCTCCTCCTCCTCCTCCTCCTCCTCCTCCTCCTCCTCCTCCTCCTCCTCCTCCTCCTCCTCCTCCTCCTCCTCCTCCTCCTCCTCCTCCTCCTCCTCCTCCTCCTCCTCCTCCTCCTCCTCCTCCTCCATGTCCTCCTGGTATGTAATTATCCTCCCCCACCACCAAAATGCTCTCCACGCCCTTCCGCACCAGCATTTCCAATAGAGAGGGCGCTGAGGCAAGACATGTCCATGCCGGTGCTTCGCTTTATTCATCCCACCTTCAGTAAGCACTCCCTCGAAGTCCTTCAGCGTGCTCTTCCCCGCCACATAGTTACTCACAATGTTAGTATGTGTTGCTGATGCATGCGTGATGAGGCCACATGTGCAAACAATCTTCCTGTGCATTGTATGCACATGTGGCCTCATCACGCATGCATCAGTCACGCATGCCTGGACCGACCATGTATGCATCAATCCATTCCCCAGCCTTCACTTCACTGCATGCACGCACTGTGTATTTCGTGGTGTCTTCATCAAAAGCGGTGATCTTCCCTTCAGTCAGCACTCCCTCAAACCCCTTCAGCACGCTCTTCACCCCTGCATGCGCCCCCCCTAAACCTAAAGCCCTCGATGCATGATCCCAAAACTTACAGTGTATTTCTTGGTATCTTCATCGAAAGCGGTGATCTTCCCTTCAGTCAGCACTCCTTCAAAATCCTTTAGCACGCTCTTCCCCACCACCTTCGCGCCCGGCCCTGGCACAACCGCTTCCGCCACACCATTACCCCTCCCCAGCGCCCCATGTGCGCCCATCATCCACCCCTCCCCTCCGCCCATCATACCACCACCACCCCAGTCGCCCTCGCCCAACCAATCAGCATCATCTCCAGGGTAACTCCCGTTTCCAGTCCCGAAATAGCCCTCGGTATACGCCCAAGCACCGCCCATCGCACTCCTCCCTCGTCCTCGCCCTCTTCCCCTCCCTCTTCCTCTTCCTCTCCCCCTCCCCCTCCCTCTCCCCCTCCCTCTTCCCCTCCCTCTCCCTCTCCCTCTCCTCCCTCCACTTCCCCATACGCCCATCTGATCATCCCAATACACTCCTCCTGGACTGTAATCCTCGTCTTCCCCTCCTCTTCCTCGCCCTCTCCCTCCCCCTCTCCCTCTTCCTCCCCCTGCTGGTGCTGCTGAAGCGCCATGATACGGCTCCACATCCACCCCTAGGTAATCCCCGTCGGCTGCCCCCCCAAAATCCCCCATATGATGAGCCCTGATACTGGAACCATCATACAGCCCAGTAGCACCCACCCCAGTAGTACCTACCCCAGTTCCCCCCTTTCCCCGCTTGCTGTGAGGCAGTATTTCCTCTTCTCCCCCACGCACCACAGATTCCGGATATAAAATTATATCTTCTCCTGCCTCTCGCACACGCTTTCCCAGTGCTTTCAGTGCAGTCTGGGGCTGCTCAGGCGTAGAAACAGCGGCAGGAACAGCAGCAGCAGCAACAGGAGGAGGAGGAACAGCAGCAGGAACGGCAGAAACCGGCTTAGCAGCAGAAGCAGGATCAGGGGCAGCAACAGACGGTTTGGCAGCAGGAGCAGGAGCAGGTGTTGCAACAGCTGCTGCAGTTGCGGCAGGAGGAGCACGAGCAGCAGCATCTGGTACAGAGGCGGGAGGAGCCGCAGCAGCAGCAGCAGCCAGATCCGCAGCAGGATCCGCAGCAGCAGCAGCAGTGCTGTCTGGGATCTTCCGCGGTCTGCCCCTGCCCCTCGCTGCTCCGCCCCTGCCTCCTCCCCCCCTGCTTGGGGTTGCCCCCTCCGCAGCTACCTCTATGCGTTCATCCATCAACGTTACCTTGTTGGCTTCGGACCTGGGTGGGATGTGGGGGAGGGGAGAGTGAAAGCACAGGCAATGTCAGCACGAACAGTAACGCCAGGCGGTCCCTCCACCTCCATGGCAACCTCCGTGCGTTCATTGATCAGCGTCGCCTTGTTGTTCTCGAGCTTGTTTTAAAGGCGGAGATCAGGAGGAGGGAAGGAGCGGAGAGGGGGAGGAGGGAAGGAAATGCAGAAACACCAGCAGCGCAAAAGCACCACTTGGACCCAGAGACAACAGCATGCGTTGAGTCCTGCAAGGCTACCTCAATCCGTTGATCCAGCAACATGGCTTTGTTGACTCGGAAAGAGACGATAGAGCAACATGGTTCTGTTGGCTTCGGGCCCAAAAAGAGAGAGCCAAACGCAAACTCAATGTCAGCTGAGAGTAAACTAACAACATCCGACCTCCCAATTCCCCAGCCTCCCTTCCCCCCTAATCTTCATCTGCAAGCTACACTCGTTTTCTGCAAGCTACACTCGTTTTCCCGCCCTATCCTTGTGCGCTTAACTCAACTCATTCTCCCCCTCCTTCCCCCATCACCCCCTTCAACTCTCCCCACAATAGCAGCGAACCATCATTCTACTCTAATGACAGGTGTAATTAAGCACATCGCTTTTTCCATACAGAGACAAATATTCCTAGAATTACAACGTTTTGTGAAACAGTTCTTACAGCCCGAACCCACTCACCAGGTCTCGATGTCCGCGTTAACAGCCTTTTCTTCTTCCTCCGATAACAGCAACTGCTCCAGCTCAGACACCTCCAGATCCTCTGCATCACCGTCCTCATATCGAACCTGCCAGAACCGCGAACACGGACACAGAGAGCCACGCAAACCCCTCATTTAGTGACTCTCCAGCTTTGCATCTTCCGGTAAAAGAACGTGACGGGCAAAATCGCACGCGAACCGTGCAAACACGAGCGACCTTAAGACGACAGGTGTGGGAAAATATGTGATTTTGATACCTAAAAGCAGTACAAATAAAACTCTCACCTTGTACCAATTCTCGTCGCGGTCGTAATGAAACACTCTCCCAAGGTACGGCACGCCGCCGAAGCTCTTCCGAACGAGACGGCCCAATAACACAGCACCAGCAGGAGGAGGAGCATCCTTATTCCCTTGTATCATCGAAGCACCACCTCCGGCAAGCGACGCACCACCTCCAGCAACCGGCGCACTGCCATCTACATCCATGATATCCACGTCCCCTTCTTCCCCATCCTTTTCGCCCTCCCCGTCATCCACGCCCTGTGTAGCGGCTGGTGGGACAGATGTAGCGGGCGGTTCGACGGTTGCAGCGGATGGTTCAATGTCTACAGCCCATGGATCGTCAGCGACTGCAGCGTCAACCTCAGCCTGAGGCTCAATATCACCCGCCTTATCGGGGTTTAAGTTGTCGTCAGCTTTATCCGCAACAGCAGCCGCATCGGTCTTTGGCGGAGCATCCGCTTTAACAGCAGCCGTATCGGTGTTATTTCCGGCATCGGTCTTCTCTCCAGTACTAACCGCGTCTTGCTCTACTAGGCCAGCTAGAGTACTAGCATCGACCTTAGCATCACCGCCACACTTAGTTTCATTGCCAGCACCAGAGTTAGTTTCGCCGCCAACTGCAACTTCAGATTCGGTTTTAGCGTCTGGCTCAGCCATTTTCGCGGGAACAGTTGTAGCGTCCGTCCCTGCTACAGTTATTGCTGCAGCAGCTGCTGCAGTCGTGGCTTCAGGAGGAGCATCAGTGACAGAGGGAACTGCTTCAGGAACAGGCGCAAACGTGGAAGCGTTTTGCTGCTGCGTCGATGCGTTCACAAGCGGGCTTTCCGCAACTGATGGGGGTTCGGAAATACCTACAGTGCTGTTGTCCATTGCGACTAGACTGTAGGTATTAGCACCAATACGAAATTAGCGGTGGTGGTTCAACTCACTACACCACAGAAAATCCTAATGTTCGACAGGACTTGCGATGTGGACTTCGCTATGGCTGCTTCGTGCTGACGAAGCCACGCTCCCGTTAACGATCCCGTCCCGTCCCGTGACCACGCGTAGTTATGCCTTCAACAGAAGCTGGGAACGCAAACAACTCCCTTCGTTTGGTACGGTAATCACGAAGTGCTTGCTGGGCTCGGGGCGCACAAGCAAGTAGGGTGGTGGAGAACGAAGGAACAATCGAGGAGGGCTCGAGAAAAAGACCTGATGATTGGGAAATGCTTGGAATAGGGATCGTCACTATCGACGGATCAGCGTGTAGAACGGAAATATACAACGCCTTGGATCTCGAAGAATCCTCTGCTTGTTCAAATATGGGCATTTATCTTAGCGGTAACACTCATTGGGGTCGATCGCACGCAAGGTAAGCCACGTGTCCAAATCGTAACTAAAGTATCTTCCGATTGCCTCCATGGTAATCAACGTGCCAGTTTGGTCAACATTATTTCCAGAATGGTGATCAACAGTGCATTCCGAAATCCCAACTGGTAACTCGTCAGAACATCCGCGATGTACACCGTACGTACCCTGTATGACTCAGATTTGAACGTACAACACAACCAATTTCTGTAGTTCCCAACCCAATTCCCTTACCCAAATCGTCCCGCTACCTCCTAACCCTAATCACACCAACAGATCATAACACCAAGTTAGTAGTCACCCTGGTGAACGCTGATATGTCGACAATGGTGCGCAGCGCCCCATATAGGTATGTCCCCGACCCGTGGTCTTCACATCGTAGTCATTGTTGTGTGCGCCTATAGTTCCCTACACGAGCATGGCGCCGCAATCGGCGCTGCGCCATGCAGCCAAGGCATGGCGCAGCCCGCAAATGCGCCATGCCAAGGCATGGCGCCGCAATCGGCGCTGCGCCATGCAGCCAAGGCATGGCGCAGCCCGCAAATGCGCCATGCCTTGGCATGGCGCCGCAATCGGCGCTGCGCCATGCAGCCAAGGCATGGCGCAGCCCGCAAATGCGCCATGCCAAGGCATGGCGCCGCAATCGGCGCTGCGCCATGCAGCCAAGGCATGGCGCAGCCCGCAAATGCGCCATGCCTTGGCATGGCGCCGCAATCGGCGCTGCGCCATGCAGCCAAGGCATGGCGCAGCCCGCAAATGCGCCATGCCTTGGCATGGCGCCGCAATCGGCGCTGCGCCATGCAGCCAAGGCATGGCGCAGCCCGCAAATGCGCCATGCCAAGGCATGGCGCCGCAATCGGCGCTGCGCCATGCAGCCAAGGCATGGCGCAGCCCGCAAATGCGCCATGCCTTGGCAAGGCGCCGCAATCGGCGCTGCGCCATGCAGCCAAGGCATGGCGCAGCCCGCAAATGCGCCATGCCAAGGCATGGCGCCGCAATCGGCGCTGCGCCATGCAGCCAAGGCATGGCGCAGCCCGCAAATGCGCCATGCCAAGGCATGGCGCCGCAATCGGCGCTGCGCCATGCAGCCTTGGCATGGCGCCGCAATCGGCGCTGCGCCATGCAGCCAAGGCATGGCGCAGCCCGCAAATGCGCCATGCCTTGGCATGGCGCCGCAATCGGCGCTGCGCCATGCAGCCAAGGCATGGCGCAGCCCGCAAATGCGCCATGCCAAGGCATGGCGCCGCAATCGGCGCTGCGCCATGCAGCCTTGGCATGGCGCCGCAATCGGCGCTGCGCCATGCAGCCAAGGCATGGCGCAGCCCGCAAATGCGCCATGCCAAGGCATGGCGCCGCAATCGGCGCTGCGCCATGCAGCCAAGGCATGGCGCAGCCCGCAAATGCGCCATGCCAAAGCATGCATCGTTTACGCATTATGTAGCTTTGGTTGCAACATTTTCATGTCTCGTTTGTTTACCGTCTTCCATCTCTGTGTGTACTTCCATGATTATATGTATTTGTTTACCATCTATTTCTAATCTGCCGTGTTCCATTTTCTCCGTAGTGTGTTGGTGCAGAACCGGGGTGAGCTCAACTTGTCAATGGGCCATGTGTTTGCGAACGTCGATGAGGCGCGTAGGCATATTCGCAAGTATGCTCGTCAGGAAAGGTTCGAACCTCACTTTCACTATAACAGAGCTGATTGTGTTGATGTGCGCTGTCTGTGTATGAAGGGGGTTGCGTGGCCCGCTGCGGGTGTGCCTGCTCCGGACGGTTTCTGTCCATTCCGTATTTATGCGCGAGGGCCTAGGGAGGGGAAGATTGAGATCAGGGAGCTTCACTTAGAGCATGCCGATATGTGTGCTGTATGTCCTGCTCGGATTAATGTGGAAGAGGTCAAGGAGATCGCCCGTGAGTTTGTCGCGCATGGCACGATGAGTCCTAGTGGTTTGAGAGATAAGGTGAAGGAGGTTTATGGCGTCTCATGTTCATACAACACAGCACGTCGTGCACTTCTTCAGCTTGAAAAGGAAGATGTTTTGTCGGGGGACGAGGGATTTGAGTATTTTGAGATGCTATTGTCCATGTTTAAGGGGCTGAACCCTACGTCGCGAGTGTCCATGGTGAAGGATGGGGACAAGTTTTTTCGTGCTGGGTTAGTGTTCCACGGAGCTCGCACTGCATTGTTGAACTGTTTCCCAATAGTGTTTGCGGATGGCTGTCATATCAAGACAAGGTGGGGCGGACAAACACTTAACCTTTGTGCTCTTGATTGTGAGCACAAGCTTGTGCATCTTGGGATTGCATGGGTTGAGGGTGAGACGAAAGAAGCATGCAGTTTCATTTTCCAGCTCTTACAGGAGGCCGTGCCAGAAGTTAACACTGAGGGTTTTATTATCATGCATGATCGGGGGAGAGGATGGGCAGCTGCGACGCGTGAGGTTTTTCCAAACGCAAGGGAATCCTTTTGCGTCACTCACATAGTTCGGAACTTCAATGCTAAGTTCCGGTCAACCCTTGATGGCAAGATTGAGCATGGTGCTAGTGCCTTGACTGCAGAGGTGTTTGCACAGTACCTAATGAAGATCGAGAAAGAGTGTCCCGGGGGGGTTGTCTACTTGACAAAAGATGAGCTGTCTAGAAAATGGGCCACCACCAGATTTGGGGCTGCTCGTTATGGTTGCTACAGCTCGAACCCTGTAGAGTCCAGTCATGCCATGTTGAAGGGCTTGAGGAGAAAGAGTCCGGCGCAGGTTTTGTTAGCAGTGATTGGGAGGAAGGGGGTGTCAACATTCAAGCGGCATGAAGCATTCGAGACCATGGCTAACGATCAGCTGCCACAGAAAATTGTGAACATCATTCGCGAAAACGCCAAATATGGAATGTCGTATACGGCTGACCAGACAGGAGAGACGGCGGTAGAGAAGTTTGGAGAACGGGTTGTGGAGCAGACCTTCAAGGTGACCCGCACGACTGGACGGGAGACACGGCGCGTCACGACATACGCTAGTCACCTTGAGGCCAGCACATGCAGCTGCGGGTATCCAAGGTAGGTCATGCGTCAGTGACTAAACATTTGTTCAAACATATGTTATGTGAAAGTACTTCTTGGAAACATTCTCAAATGATCCTCCCTTCTACCGTGTGTCCCCTTGTACAACCCGCCTTTGTGTAGGGAGTACGGCCTCCCATGTGTACACCTTTATTCTGTCTACAGGTCCACACCGGAGAAGGCTCATCAAGTAGTGGACCGCTACTACAAAGTGGAGGCTCTTAAAAATGTATACAGTACCCCTGTTGTCCCGCTCGACCCTACCGAGGCGTTTCGAGACAACACCACCAAGCCACCTTCGTACCCAAAGAGGCCAGGGCGTCCACGTGAGACACGTATCAGAAGTTCTGGTGAGGTGGATGGTGATAAGATGCGCAAGTGTGGGAAGTGTGGTGAGAAAGGTCATAATGTGCGCACATGTGAGTTGCGGGCGGCACAACGGGCAGCATGGGAAGAGAGGCACTCACCACAGGCTCATGTTGATATGCAAACATGCACAATTGCGATGGGTGAGGTAAACGTGTCAAAGTGCAGCGCGTGTGGAGAGCTACATCGTGAAGGGATTCGTTGTTCAGCTGTACGTACGATGGAAGCTCGAGCACGACGGAATGGAGATGAGGAAGAGGGTGCCGCTGGGAGAGTAGAACAAGGAGTTGCGGGCGATGAGGATACGGAGTATTCCCTCACATCAGATTCTGAAGGAAGCGACTGGCAGGAGGAGGAGGGAGCAGGGAGGCGGCAGCCACAGCAGCAAAGTGGAAGTCAACAGCAAGGGGGGGAGCAGCAGCAGCAGCAGCGGCAGGGGAAGCAGAAGGGGAAGCAGAAGGGGAAGCAGAAGGGGCAGCCGAAGGGGCAGCGGGGGCAGAGGCAGCAGCGAAGGGGAAGGCAGCAGAAAGCAGGGCAGGGGCACGGGCATGGGCAGGGGCAGCAGCAGCAGGAGGAGGAAGAGCAGCAGCAACAGCAGCAGCAGCAGCAGCAGGAGGAGGAGCAGCAGCAACAGCAGCAGCAGCAGCAGGAGGGGGAGGAGCAGCAGCAGCAGCAGCAGCAGGGGGAGCAGCAGCAGCAGCAGCAGGGGGGACAGCAGCAGCAGCACCAGCAGCAGCAGGGGCAGCAGCAGCAGCAGCAGGGGCAGCAGCAGCAGCAGGGGCAGCACCAGCAGCAGCAGCAGGGGCAGCAGCAGCAGCAGCAGCACAGGGAGGAGGCAGCTGCATCAGAGGGCCTAGTGTCGACATCAGCTTCACAAGGAGCAGGGGTG